TTTAGTGACCAAAGTTACAATGGCATTGAAAAAAGTGACTGATGACCATTTTTCACACTTAGCGACCGTTGCAGAATCCTGATCAAAATTTTGTTTGGCAACAGTTTCGTATTTATGCTGGTTTCAGTGTACTGGGGTGACCTTTTGACAAAATATAAAATTTTTAATCAAGCCCCCCTCCCTCCCCAGTCAATGGTGTCCCTCTTCACCAGTCTGAAAATCTGGTCACCTTACACATTGGTGCTGTGGGAAAAATAGGACGAAGATGTGTTGGATATGTTTGCTGCCTTATTTATAACAATAAAGGCGGGATATAAAATAAATACATGATTTAGCCTATCTATGTAGTCAGTTTGCACTCAGGAAAGTAGGATTCGTGACTCCATTTAGTTGAAGCAAAAGAACTTTTACTAAACTGGTTGCAACAAAGTCAGGCAAAATCTGGTGTTTCCACGCAAAATACAAAACTATTATTTCCAATTCCCAATCCCTCCCCCCATGATCAGTCTCCCAGCCAGCCAATGTGATGCCGATAAAATGTTTTGAGAAATTGAAGTGTGAAACTAGACACATTCTGTTCTCAGGGCGAACAGCCTTGAAGATCCTGCCAGTTTGGTGATCTGGTCTTCTTCCATTGTCATTTCCCAATCTCCCCCCCTTCCCACCATTTGACACTAGGTGTGGCTTGCCCAAAATGTCTCCCCCACTCCCTTCCCCTTAGATGGCTGGAACCCAGCAAGGAGCCAGGCTAACAATGGAGATCCTGACATCTTGTAGCTTTTGGGAACAGCTTCTAGGAGTTGCAAGCAAGCATAAATGTATCCAGAACATAGTCATACTCCTTTCTTTTTAATCAATATTGGTCAATGCTGCAATTCTTTTTCAATATCTATAAGCTGATCTGGTTAAATCAGACAGGAAATGTGACAGATAAGTTTAATTTGATTTATTGTCAGGCTAATTAACAGAAGTCAATGATAGCATAAAAGTTCCTGCCAACACCTTTAACTGCTTGTTCTATTAGGGCAGGGTCCTTTTCAAGTTTCCTTCTCCGACAGTTGAATCATTGGGGGCACACATTTCTTGTCTGATTTCCTAGGCAGCATTTGATCCTGCAAGGACATTCCCACATTTTGTTAAAAACCTAACCCCCCAAGACCAAATTATTTCCTTGCTTCTTTTAATACCCATGTGGGAACACCCTTAAAGGATATTTGAACACCTTCCAACCCAGTTCTTATATTCACCATTATTCACTCACCAATGAACCATAGCACTGTTCACTAAATCTGCTATGAAGCTTTAGAAAATGAATTACGGTATCTTAAAGAGTTGACCAACTAAAGGTTTGTCAATCCAGGTGACTTTAAATTAGCAGTTGGAAAAAGACTAGTGTTTTTAAAAACATACATAATAAAGCTTTCTTGGTTTACATCTTTCACCTCTTCAGAATTATGCTGTAACCAAGCCAACTCCTACAGCCAATATAGGTAAGCTAAACTTAATTGGAGTTATTGAGCTGCTAGTTAATAGAATTGTAGTTTGATTATGACTGCAAGTACTGTGAGAATTCATATGCACTACTGATAGCAACATAGGCAGTATTTTATTAATGTTATCAATCACCTCACCCAGGAGAGAGAAGAGATTCTTTAGGGCAAGAGCACAGAACATCAGGCTGTATCATGATCAGCTTCAGTGGGAAAAACTGAAGGGATGGGAGGTGCTGGAATCCAAAGATCAAAAGATTTATAGAAGAACTTGTCAAGAGCATTTAATTCATAAATAATTTTACCAGAAGAGAAAAAAATGGAATAGGATTTTCTGAAAGAACGTTTGGTTGGATGGAATGAAGCAGCTTTCACTCCTATTCTCTCACTATAAATTTTAATAAAAAACAGCGCACACACAGAGCCAAAAGTAGGTTATTTTGTATCCTGAATTTTGATGATATATTTCAATGTGTTGGGATTGCAATTAGGCATGCTTGAGAACTATGTGTGACTCAGAAAGTCTCCATCCCAACTGTACAGCAGCAAGCTGTGTGCTTGTATTCAAAGAAAAGGAGCAGCTGTTATGATGCTAGCAAGCCATCCTTCAGGGGTATCCACTGGCAGTTAAGTAACCAAAGAATTACGAGAGGGAGGGAGGTATTAGTAATTTGAACAAAAGCAATAAAACTAGTCTCATGACAAAAGGCAAACTTGTTCATAGACGCTGGAAGTACATAAGAGTGCAACATTTTAATGAGCAAATACACCAGATTGAATGAACTGCAATTGATGCTTGGTATTTAGTTTTTTTAAACACAAAAATATAAAAATCCTAAAGACCTAAAGGTTAATCATGTTTCCAAAGAGGTACAAGACGTCAGTTTAATCTAAGTTGTTGAATAAGCTACTATTAGTTAGATTCAAACATTACACTAGTTTGTAAACATATTTAAAAATAAAATCAGGGTACAACCAATAAAGCAATCCACAGAATGCTAACTCAGTGTCTTCCAGAGCAAGGTATTATTTGGCTGATATGGGAGAAATCCCTTTTTGGTATTATGTTAGTACTGATTTATATAAACAGTTGCTCTCAAAGTTGTGTATAAATATAACCAAGCATTATTATGGCTTTTGTTATAAAATATGATTTTATATTCTCAAATTCTCTATTAATAATGTAACAATAGCAATTTTGCTCTCTTGATCATTAAAGGCAAACTGAATGAAATAGTATACATCAACACTATTCAGAAAATTGTTGATATATTTATCCTGATGTGCTCTGAGAACATAAAAGAAAAAATTGAGACATTTTGTGGTACACTTGAAAAAGGTGTCTTCCTTGTTAACCCTAGATTAACCCCTTGGTGTTTCTAAGAACCCCCTTCTTGGAACATCTGACAGATCTACGTAGCTGTCTTGAAATTTGTATATCCAGTGAAAATATATCCAGTAAAACATAGAAAGTAGTTTAAAACATCACCATATCCACAAACATTCAGGAAAAATATTATACTTTCCACAGTCATCAGGTATTACTGGCCAATATCTACCCTTTAAACTTGAAGCTCTTTCATCTACATATATCTTGAACTGGATTAGGCATCAGAATGAGTTGGAAACAACATTACCACATACATACATGCAACGTAAATGCATCATACTATGTAGTTTGAGAACTTTTTGCTAATTAAACAGTACATTGTGTATATTCTAGATACATAAACAGGAAACACTATTATGAGAAGAGGGATAAAGCTAACATATTTTTAAACTAGTCCAACAATATAAAAGGAGAAAGCTTTTAAATTCTAGTTAAAAGAAATTTTTAACTAGAAGTAGGCAACTTTTGTTTGACTAGCATATACTTTTATTCAAAGGCCATTTAAAAAGTTGCATAGACGTAGCATGTTGGCTGCAAGCTTTCTAGGACCCTTTATATATATATAGTTCACCCACACCCAACTTTTGCTTCATCTCTGGGGCTTAATGATTTTCTAATCTGATTCAGAGCTAAAATTGTGGTCTTTTATTTAGTTCAGGTCTCATCAGTGAATGCATTTAGATAAGGTTTAACATATAAGCTTTATACCATGAATTACTCAACACACATGGCAAAAACCAAACCTAAAAGTCAGCTGTGAAACAGTGCAAAAAATTAGTGGTAAAGCATTGTAATAAAAAAAAACCCTTTCATAAATAAAACACTTTCCTTTCAAACTAAGCAGTGGTATTCCTGAAATGAATGGTTAATATTAATATCATTTCTGAAACTGAAAAACTATTTTGATTTTTACATTTTTCTTTTGTTTATTTCAAATTATATAGGCTACATCCTCATTCAGATTTGCAAATATAAATTATTTAATCAGTTATTAAGTCAGGAAGCCATCTTTAGATATTTGAATGTAACTTTCTGAGGCAGCTAAGAACAGAAATGTTGGGATTGTTCTTAAAGCAAAATCTATTATCATTCATTTTTAACTAGAATGAAAGAAATTAATCTTAATTTTTGAACTTCATATCTTTATATGAAGATTAGCTATCTAACCTGGCATCTAGACAAAGAATTAAGCAACAATCTTCTATTACTCCCATTTCCTAAAATATTTATATATGTTTAGGATAAACATATTAGTTTGATTAAAAACATTTGGTAAAGCAGTGAAATTGAAACAATGGTTACACAAGTTGTATGGTAACCAAAAAAACTGTTTATGTTTATGTGTATTATATATTATTCACTGATTGAACAGGTAACAGAATGTGTATTTTGTGAAAGTGCTCCAGTTGCAAATACAAGTTAAGTGAAGTGATTTTGGAGTTATTTTCACTTATCAGATCAACATTAACTCAAGCAAAACTTTTGTTCAAGTTCAAGGCTAACAAAGCTTTCTAAACATATTTCTTAGATGTTTAACAGTGCATATCATCTATTTTGTGCAAACTTCTGAGAAATGCTATCACGAATCTCAATCAAAAGCATTAAAAGTATTAAACCAGGGCACATCAGCATAGAATACATAATCACAGTTCACAGCACTGAAAGGGAATGGTAACTTTCTAGAATATTACTAAGTAAACTCTGTTCATGCTATGGCATGAGCCATTCTGCATAAAACACATTAATTTTTCAATACAAGAATACGTTTTAAAATTTATAAGTACAAAAAATAACAAGTTTTCAAAAACTTTAGCAGTTCTTTTTTGTAAATGCTTCATGTGCAGAATAGATGGCGATTTAGCAAAATTAGTTTTACGGGAAAAGGTATTTGTACTTTAAGAAGATTTTAATTGTTACATTAACTTAGAAGCAATATAGGATCTTCTAGTTCATAGAAGGGTATCGAGCTAGCCTGGCTTTCTCCAGAGTCTGAATCATAAGGAGCATCTGGAAGCTCCATGAAGCTACAGGCCAGTTGTTCATCTTCAATATCTGATCGGATATAGCAGGAATTATTAGAAAATTCCTCCTCTTCCACAGTGTTAAAATCCTGGGGAATGTATAGCATTCCTGGGTAGTTCCTGCTCACTAAATCACTTGTTGTTTTGAGTGAGATTTTCCTAAAAGCCATCAAGTGCATATGAGAAAACTTTGAGTATTTGAAACGTTTAAACCCTAAAGATTCTACAGCAATTTTCCAGCTTTTCATCATCATAGCATGGCGATTCTGATGAGAAGAGTCAGGAGTGATAATAAGGAGTAATCCGTTTAATACAAGTAGTTCATGGGCCTTTTTACAACATATCCATCGCTGATAGGGTGATGGGAAATAAGAAAGGAGGAGGGAAAAGACCACAACATGAAATAGTTCTCCAGGCAGGGAATCAATAGGATTCTTCAACTGTTTCAAAAAAGCATTAATAGCATCTTGTGCAAGTTGAAGAGGTTGATGAATCTGAAGGTTTAAAAAGTCACATTTGTAGACACTCTGGGGGAAGAAATATAGATGCAATGATATACTTGGTACACAAGTAAATAAGATGATAAATAATTCTTAAAATCATTAATAGAATTTTTCATTGATCAATTAATTTCATTTTTATCTGGGTATATTATTTTTAAGTTAAGCAAGTAGCATGCATTGGTTTCAGGTAATATAGGTGTGTAGTTAAATCCAACTATACAGGTGAAACTCGAAAAATTAGAATATCGTGCAAAAGTTCATTTATTTCAGTAATGCAACTTAAAAGATGAAACTAATATATGAGATAGACACATTACATGCAAATCAAGATAGCCATGATTTGTCATAATTGTGATGATTATGGCTTACAGCTCAGAAAANTCAACTCCCAGAGTTCCCCAGCCAGCAAAGCTGGCTGAGGAACTCTGGGAATTGAAGTCCACAGGTCTTAAAGTTGCCAAGGTTGGAGACCACTGTTGTAGGGTGGCGGGTGGGCAGGACGCCTATCTCAGCGGCTCACAAGCTACCCGGGCTCACCGCTTGACAGCAGACCCGACTATTTGCTGCCGGGAAACTAAGAGCGGCGGGGAGGCAACCGCTGGATGAAGTAGGAGGCTGAGCGGGCCTTTTTCCCAACGCCAGGTGGGGCAATCACACCCCTCCCCCCTTCATATACGAGGCAACTACGGTAGACGGAACAGTCTCTTAGCACCCTCCGCGCCCACTTCCCGCCTCTGTCCTGATCGAAGATCAAACTGTGGCGCCCGTGTGATGAATATCCCGGTTTCCTCGGAAACTCACCGTCCGCCACTTCCTCCCAAAACTTCCTCTCCTGCCGCCATTTTAGCGCTTCCTCAAATAGGTTCCGAGTGGGACGGGAAGAGCGAAGGTTCAAATCGCGCAACGACGCTCTGCCCCCCCCCCCGAGCGCGTGGCAACGCTCCTCACCCAAAGCAAGGAAGGCCAAAACAGCAACCGCAGAATGAAGGCGTCGTAGTGCTTTTAACAGGAGTTTTTTTTCCCCCTCCGAGACTTACGACCTGATAGCAGTCCAAAGAGACGTCACTCTTTCTTCCCAAGGGGGAATGTTTGAATCTCCTTTCAGTAGAATGGAATGGGAATAGGAATAGAATCGGGAAGGGACCTTGGAGATCTTCTAGTCCAGCCCCCTCCTCAAGCAGGAGAACCTATACTATTTCAGACAAATGACTGTCTAGTGTAAGAAGTTATCACCCAGCCCTCTCCCAGAAAAATAAAATATCCTGGGAAATATTGAAAAGGCAGAATATTTCTCTGGATGTGAAAAGAAAGGTGTTTTAAAAGACAGAATAGCTGCCTTTAGCTTCCTCCGCACTTTGTCAATGGGCCATTAAGAAGGCCAAGCTAGTCCACTTTACATAATAAAGGCTTCTCCACTTNTGTTTGTCTGTTAATTAAATGCTGTAATTTATCTCTGGCTCAGAGTGTGCTTTGGTGTGGAACGAGGGGGGTCAGAACAGGTGGATAGTTGGAGCGTTTCAAGCACCTTTTCCATACACTACTGCGAAACATCTTTCAAAATTCGAAATGTATAGTCCTCCCACTATCTTCCAAAACCCTGAGAAACATTTTTAATATTCTACAACATTTTCTTTCCTTAGACTATATATTTACCTGCAGCACCATTCAATGCGACCTTCTCCTTCACAAGTTTTAGCCCAGTGATTATCTGCCAAGTTTTTCATTGCCTCGGCATATTCACAGAGTGTTTCTTCATCCTCACAATGTTCACGCCATATCTTATCAAAGTCACCCACTAAACAAAAACACACACACATAATATGAAAGCAACTATTAAAACTTCATTGTAAAAGAAATCAGATACGCTACAGTATATTCCTATATATATTTTCTACTTAACAAAATCCACTGTGTAATGTGATGTTATAAAACAACTGATCCATACCGTTCTATTCCTTCTCAGGCTTACTTGATGATATGAATATAGCAGTGGTGAGTTTCAAATTTTTTTGGAACCTACTCTGTGGGTATGGCCTGCTTTGTGGGAGTGGCTTGCTGGCCATGTGACTGGGTGGGAGTGGCCAAGACGATGTCACTGAATTCTTTAATTACTTCCGGGTCCACCGGTCAAACCTCTCACCGGATCAGTAAATTTCACCAACCGGTTCTCCCGAGCCAGTGCGAACTGGCAGAAACCCACCACTGGAATATATCCATTAAAACATCAGCAATACAAAGCTTTTCCCTGTGATGTTGTTCATGCCTGAAACATTTTGCGCCATGATTTCTGAGGTGAATAATTTAAAAAAATAGAAGTCATTCCTTCACGTTTCCTTCCCATCTTGGTAAAAGATTTGTAATTTCATAATCAAAAACATTTACTTGATTTTTTTGTCTTAGCAGGCAAACTGCACATACCAAATTATAGCAAGGTGCAAAATCTCAGCTAAGGCACTATTGCTCAAGCCTGAGATAGGGAGCTTGTCATTTCAAGGCATTCACCAATAACTTGACATGGCAGGCTGCCACAGCTCTATCTGGTCTTCACCTGCAACCAACTAAAATTGGCTGACTTAACAAAGGAGGAACTTCACAAAGCAACTGGTTCCACTGAACAGTCTGTCAGTCAGTCAGTCAGTCAGTCTGTCTGTCTGTCTGTCTCTCCCCCCCCCCACACACACGGTGTCCACTTAAAAGAAAGTGTTATTTAGATTTTTTATCTATTTTCTCAGTGAGGTCCATGTAACATTCAAAAGAATAAAACAAACCATTATTTAAAAAGTTAAGCATGAAAATGAAAGTTCATTAAAAAAATCTAAGAAGCTGAAGCAATTGTTCAGTACAAACAGCCAGCTAAATAGGCATGTCTTCAGCTATTGATTAAAGGAAATAGGGTGCAGACATAGGAACACGTTTTATAGTTAGAAATTGGCACCTTGAAGGCACTTATCATTACATTGTGAATTGAACTATTTAGTGAAAAGAAAAATTGGGCCTCTCTACTTGATTTTAATGCAGGAGTTGGATGATATCTGGAAATTTTCAAAAGTATTTGACTCCTCAAATATTTAAAGCAGGAGTCCCCAACCCCTGGTTCACAGCCTCCCAGGAACCAGGCCATGCAAGTGAGCGAACCTCCCTCCACACACACGTAGGATCCAGGCAGCGCATGAAATCATACCCACCCTGGTTTGTGGAAATTCCATCCTCCACGGAAGCAGTCCCTGGTGCCCAAAAAGTTGGGGGGCGCTGACTGTAGATGACAATTAATAACTTGGATTAGGCCTGGTACTGCAAAAGCAGTAAAGGCAGCTTAATTCCCGGGCCTCAGAACTATCTATTCATAGTGTTTCGTATGAATTCAGTTTCCTGACTGCACCCACATTCCTGGTCTTCAGACAGCTGTTATATACCTGCACAATCTCCCCCAATTAAGATGGGAAGAGGAAATAAGAATACGGATATCAAATATCTGAACTACCACACCCAAGTGGCTTTATGGAAATGTTGAAGGAAGAAAAAAAAAACCTTGTGAGGTTATCATTAAGCACAATGAAGCCAAATAGATGGTCATTCTTGTGACCCTACAGTTTTAAAAAACATAAGCCACATTACACTGTCCCTGCGAGATCTTAACAGTCATACTGGGCAAACTGATAGATAAAAAGAAGCTTGCTTATCCTCCCTAACAATAGCAATCAGGCCACAATAACAAATTAATTAGTTCATGCTCACATAAATTTATGTGCAGCAATTATATGGGTCAATTTAGAACAGATTTTATCTTCAAAATTTGTTACAGTAGACTGCTAGATGATATGCTGAATCTGCCTCAGGATTAACTTTGAACAGGCAACCCACCACCCAAGGAAGTTGTGCTGGGTTGTTTTCTGAAAATACAATGATGGCAGAGAAATAATCAATAATATATGATTCCTATTAATAATAAACAATTCCTAACTAACCTAGCTGACAACTTTGTTGTCCAAAAGGTAGAGGAGGGAACTAGAGGAACAGCCATACTGGATTGAATTCTTATAAACAGAGAAGTGATAGAGGAAGTTGAAACCGGCAAGGAAGTAACAGGCAACAGAGAGAAAGCAGAGATGCGTAACTCATTCTTTGCATCACTCTTCATGCAAAAATAAACTATAGCCCAACCTACCAAAACCTGCAAAAGACAGACTAGAAATGCAAGTTAAAATAAGCAAAAGAATAGTAAGATAACACCTGTCTGATCTTGATGAATACAAATCACTGGGACCTGATGGATTACATCCTAGAGTTCTAAAGGAGCAGGTAGATGTCACCTCAGAACCACTGTATCACATCTTTCAAAAATCCTGGCACACTGGGGAACTACCAGAGGACTGGAAAAGAGCTGATGTGGTTCCCATCTTCAAAAAAGGGAAAAAAACAGACCCGGGAAATTATTACAGACCAATCAGCCTAACATCAATACCCGGGAAGATACTGAAAAAGATAATAAAAAAACAGATCTATCAACATCTAGAAATGAGTAAAGTAATAACTAGGAGTCAGCACCGCTTTGTTAAAAACAGATCATGCCAAACCAATCTTACTTCATTCTTCAACATAGTGACTACATTAGTAGACCAACCTACTTCTTGATAAGATAGAAAAAACTGGGATAAATAGTATCACCACCAGATGGATTTGTAACTGGCTGACAAACCATACTCAATAAGTAGTCCTTAATGGGTCTGTGTCTATATGGAGGGAAGTAAGCAGTGGGGTACCACAAGGTTCCGTCTTAGGCCCAGTACTCTTCAATATCTTCATAAATGACTTAGATGAGGGAATAGAAGGGAACTTACCAANTAGCACATCACTGAGTACTCAAGCTTTAATCACACTATAACTTAAGCAATGGCTTTAGATATACACTAGTAAAGCTGAGGTTTTCAGTCATGTGTCCATACTTTCGACTTAACTATTTGTTAAAATACTCACTTTCAACCTAAAAACTATACTATCAGATATTAACCAAAAGGGAATTAGCAATCATTGAATAAATAATACATTTTATGTTTTGGATTGTTAATATTTCATACCTCAACAGCTGGGACAATATCAATACCAACAGTCAAAAACTCTTCAAACTTCAAAAATGGATTAAAACAGCTGCCAACATCAAGTAATCTTATCTTTCCTGAAGGATGTAGCAATCTAAGTAGAAGAAAAAAATTGAAATCTTCCTCAGAATCCCCACAATCTTAGTCATGGAAATTCTATTTAAAATAGTAAATATGTTGCAGTTTCAGAATTAATGAGTGAATTTTGCATAAAATATTTTTATTTTTAATCTTTCAGGTAACCAATAAGGTAATGTTTGAATTAGTTTTTATTTTAAGAACAGATTAAACATGTCAATTTTGAAAGATATGGAAGATTCAGTGAATGCCTGGTTCATGACATACATATTTGGCAACATGGCCCCCAACCTAGCAACTCTGTACCATGTTTCCCCCAAAATAAGAACCCAGTCTTATTTTCAGTGGGGTTGCCCACTGACTCACCTCACTTGCATACGTTGCCCACAGCCTTTTTCACTATCAGAGGCCTTCAGGAACCTCTTTGTCCGGCAAGGCCAGCAAGGGTTTCCTGAAGGCCTCTTTAGCTGATAAGAGAGTTCCAGATCGACCCAAAGCTCTGTTATTGGCTAGAGAAGCTTTCAAGAGAGCCTTGCCCGCTGCAGAAGAAATGGGCCGAGGTGTGTGAAACATGGTATGTAAGAAAATCTGTTTTTTTAAAGTTCCAATATAAGAAGCTATTTGCCTAGCTACATACAGACGTATTATGATTATATGAGTTCTAACAAAAAAAGCCTGTTCTATATTTTTCATCTAAATTGTCTGCTTACTTCAGAATAATTTAATTCTATACATTATAGCCATGGTATATGAAAGAGGTACTTAATCTATTAGTAACAGTTTAGTTGTCATGCTTTTCCCAATGAACTCTGAAATATTTTTATTGTTGTTAGAGAGCCATAAAACCTATTCCTAAAAGGAGAGAGTAACTGGTTGTATAAGAATGTTGTATATGTTTTATGAGAAGATACAAACCAACCAAAGTTGAGCATTTAAATCACACTGGTTTTAAACAGAAAATCTAGATTGCACAATTAATTAATGTATTAAGCACAGTAGTGCTCAAAAGTCTTATTTATCTAAGTTAATAATTTCAAAGTTAATTACAAAAATTAACTTCCTATTCATAACCACATCACAATTAGATACTTACTCATCCATTACAAAACTATGGATTGGATTATCAGTAGAAACTTCCATTTTTGAACTTGCATGAATGCTGATAGTTTGAATGGTTTTAGTAGCAAGAGCTGCTCTTTTCTCGTCTTTTTCCAGTGCTTTCCGTTTTCCACCATTTTGAAAATATTCCCGGGATACACTTCAGGAAAGAAAGGCAGATAACTTTTTAAAAAATGCTTATTATACCCATGATTTAAAACACTGTAACTATTCCACATTACAATAGTGTAATTTAATTATACTTCATCAAAATGCATATAAAATTAACAATTAGATTTAAGCTAAATGCTAAAATAATCAAAGAAACTGTTCAATATTATACAATTCTTTCAGTGACTCATGCAGTACTGTAGAATTGCATGGATCTCATTATTTCCCTCTTTTTCTTTCATTGTTTTTCTTCCTTATGCATCTTCAGCACTATTTTCTATAGCAAATTACTCTTTCCAGAAAACACTTCCGGTATATTTCTTCATTAGGAATTAAAAACAATGATTAAACTGTCAGTTTTTTAATATGATTGCAAGGTAAAGACTACAGGTAGTCCTGATCTTATAACTGTACATTTAGCGATCAAAATTACTATGACACTGAAAAAAGTGAGTTACAACCAGTCCTTTCACATGACTATCACATAGTCACACGATCACAATTCATGTTCCTGGCAACCAGCAGTAATTTACAATAATTGCAGCATCTTGGGGTCATATGATCACCATTTGCAACTTTCCCAGGTAGCTTCCAACAAAGTCAATTAAAGAAGCTAGATTTCCTTAAAGGCTGATTGAGTCACTGAACAACTGTGGTTATTGTGATTTCGATCTGAAGTTCTCCAGCTGAACAGACATGGAAGATGTGAGCTCTGAAGAGGCTCACATGAACCCTGTCTGCAAACTGTCTCAGAGATCCATTTTTGGATCAGAACCCCCCCCCCCGGAGGGGGGGGCGAAGAAGGGGCAGTGTCTCATCAGACCTAGAGGGAGTGCAACAGGGGACCTGTTGTAGGTTAGAGATTTGCCCTCTGAATCGGAACTGGGCGGCAGCATGTCAACATGCTGCACAAGAAGCTGGCTCCAGGCCAAAAGCAGTTGAACAGGAGCGTGCAGAGGCGAGATGAAAGCCTGGTAAGATCTATTAACCCACAGTTATAAAACAGAATGTGGAAAAGGCAAAGAAACTTGAGAGCATAAATAATATTGATGGACAGATCGGGATTTTGGCAAAAAGAAAGAAGGGGAAAAATGAAGGGTTGAATCACCAGCCCAAAAGAGAGCCATTTTCTGGAAATAATTTGGAGAAAGTAAAGAAGTGACAAATCCACTCAAACACAAACTCTAAATTTGGTTTTGAACTTGAAAAGATTGGTTTTTTAAAAAGAGTTTTAGGAGTGTGAAGATTTCCTTCGCCCAGATTTCCTTCACCCGAATGTCTTTTAACTAACATATTTTAAGCAACTCCTCTATCTCCTCACTGACAACTGATAATTTAATTTTGCCTGTGTAGGAAATTCTAATTAACCAACTGCCATAAATCAGAACTTGGAAAAGCAGGTATCCGAGTTTTGACTTGTATGCAAGCTTGTTCCAATTAATATATCGAACAAGAGGTGAAAAGTAACAAGGGGGAAAAAAAAATAACAAAATCAAGAACCAGGAAATACAAAGGTTTTTTCCCCCTTTATTTCTGCAAAAGATTAAGATGGCTCTAGCTTCTTTTCCAGTTTCACAGTAGTTGAATTAACTAAATTTAAGGTGGACCAGAACTTTGAAACAAGATTTGTATAACTAACTGCAATTTTAGAACTGGACATTATGGAAAGCTGGGAATTTGAAGAACTATGTGAAATTATAAAAAATTATAAAAAAATATGCATATCACATTAAAATCAAGCCTAAATAGAATTCTGAACCCAGAGAAGTAGGTATTTAAAAAAGAAAGGGGGGGGGATAATGAAGGGGTAGAAACGGTGGGAAATAAAAAGCAGACAAAAAACTACATAGGGCGTGGTAGTGGTATAGGGGAAATTGTACAAGGGGGATGTGTCCCAACAAAAGGGAATAAAAAGCAGACAAAATATGTTTCGGAGGTTGAAAGTGGTATAAGGAAAACTGACGTAGGTTACGCCCCAACTAAGAGAAATATAAAAGAACTTTCTGACGGTGGTTTGGGGAAAATTGAAGAGGGTGGATGTATCAGAACAAAGAAAAGGGGGAAGGCAGGAACAGAGAAGTGGGACAAGAGACTTACTAGGAAAAAATCAGACAACTAGAAATTGTTACATGGGAAAATANGGGGAGACATGATAGCAGTGTTCCAATATTTGAGGGGCTGGCACAGAGAGGAAGGGGTCAATCTATTTCCCAAATCACCTGAAGGTCAGACGAGGAATAATGGATGGAAACTGATCCAGGAGAGATTCAACCTAGAAATAAGGAGAAATTTTCTGACAGTGAGAACAATCATCCAATGGAACAGCTTACCTTCAGAAGTTGTGGGAGCTTCCTCACTAGAGGCTTTCAAGAAGACATTGGACTGCCATTTGTCAGAAATGGTGTAGGATATCCTGCTTGGGTGGGGGGTTAGACTAGATGACCTACAAGATCCCTTCCAATTCCAATTAATCTGTAAATCACCTTTTTTGCTAGCATTGCAACTTAAACTATTCTGGCTTGTGCTTAGTCATAGTTATTAGAGGCTTTGTTCTAGCAATCTAATGATTTTTGCTTTACTGCATACAGAACCAAAAGAGCATTCTAGGCTGTATGTAATTGGAGAGGTACTCAGGATCAATAGCATCAATGTCCATCCTCTACTCAATATATCACTGTAAATCCAGTGCTGTGAACTACCAACCATGTTAGCTGAGAGTGTTAACTACCATAAGTCCTCAGATTCCATCTGTCTCTAAGGGTAAATCATCTTAACTGGTCAAATTGCAACAGTAACAATCTTTTCATGCAAACAGAGCTATGTTCATACTATGAATTAACCACTCACTTCTAATATAATCTTATTCTCTTTACACTAATAATCCATGGTTGTCATGACACAACTAAATTAGTTGTCAACTTTAATGTTGATATGAAAGTCTGGATAAAAACTCTCTCCAAGACCGTTTCAAGAACTGCCTTTGATAGGAAAGATGAGCAATAGAATTCCAAACCTCAGAAAGATGAGAGAGAAAATTCTGACAGAGAAATGCAATCCCTTCCTTTTGGCAGATGTTGGTACTGTACCAAGTATATGGCCCAGCATAAATGGATCAAGACTGCCTCCAATAGTCTGTTCTCATGCCAGCAACATTTATGCAGAAGGCTCTGTAACAATAACCCAATCCTTTAAAAACCTTGCTTGTTGTCACTTTCATACTCCTTTTCCCCAGTGATGTTTCCTTTAAACTAAGAATTTCCAAGGAAGCACATTTTCTTACCAAGGACTTACTTCAAGTGATTTTTTTCTAGAACAGCCACTGTCTCTCTCCTATACAAAACTGGAATTATTACCCTTTGAATAGCTGAGAGAAAAGAGTATCCAGGACATCAAAGACAAAGTAGTGGAACATATGGGTATCAATGATAACCATACTAGTTATGATAATCTAATGATACAATTAGAATTAAAGAGAATTTGATTCTAATATAGGATTGTTCAAAGGTTCAAAAGAGATACTTTACAAGACACAAAGTTAAATTAAACAACTGTCCTTGAATCATGAAAGGTGTATCTTTTGCAAATTTCGGACAACTATTTCAAAACTTGTCCTTGGCTCTGAGGGGGCATGTAAAGCCACTTCATAAAGGGCAGTGTCAGGACAAAACTTTGTGAAAGATAAACTATATACTCTCTAAACTACTAACTTCAGCTCTGATGATTAATTTGTAATTGTGAAATGATATAAAATTTAACATTCCAGAAAAGCAGGTAGGCCAGCATAAATACAATTCCATGGGACTTTTTTCTACTTTAAAATGTTCCATTTTATAAAACTAATTAGTTTTCATTTGCAATTAAAACAAGGCAATTAATTAAAGCTATCTAAAATATCAATATACAAATTTCTCAAAGCCTGACTAAAATAGCAGTTTTAAATTGGCTCCTAAATGTTAAGAAAATGTTAAGAAGTAAATGCAGTACTTCAGCCTTGAGACTACTAATACAGTCTTTTTCTAAAAATTGAATACATCTACAAAGTAAATATGTGAGCAGTTAAGCTATCCTCATCTCCTCAGGTCACTAATGGATTACAGAACTATATAATGAACTGAAATTTTCCATTCTCAGTTCTGCCTCAGGCTTGTACAGCTAAAAGTATTGTCAAAATTGACAATAAAAAAAAGATGAGAGAACTTCTCTTTTTTGTTTGTTTTAAGTTTTTTTTACATTAGTATATGGCTCCCAGATCTGATCTGCAAAAAGTCCACATGACTGCTAGATGACAACAAATAGATACAGAAAGCACAGTTGTTGCAGCCCTGATATGGTATCTCTGCATTAGAATCTCTGGATCAGTAATAAATATCAGAGAGGCTTAGAGCAGACTATATGTAACAGGATTGACTTTATAGCAAATATCTGTAAGAAAAATATTCTATGAAATTGTATAACCTCTACTTCCAAAGATGTGGCCCTAAAATAAGTATATCCAAAATTTACATAATTGTAGTATTACTGGATAGAAATGGCACGGAGCTTTCCCCATGAACATCAATATAAGCCCTAACCCCCAAAATAAGCCCTAGTTAAGCCCCATCCACCGTCTGGTTGTACGAGGTGGAACAAGGTGCATGTGTAAAAATCAAGCTAGGGCAGGAGTAGGATGGAGCAGCCCAATGCACCTGCTTACTTAGGACCTCCGTAGTCAGGCCTCCCATTCCCCAACACCAGTAGCACCGCTGCCTGATTTCTGTGGCCTATTGTGGCTGGATGCCACATGCCGCATTGCACAAGTGTCATTGTTCACGGCAGGATGCTGCGAGGCTCATTGCACCAGTGCTGCTGCTTGTGGCAGAACACTGAGGCAAATTGCAGTAGTGCTGCTGCTTGTGGCAGGACATCACAAGACTCGTTGCGCCGGTGTCACCACTCACGGCAGGATGCCGTGTAGGTTGTTGTGCTGCTGCTGCTGCTCGGGTGTGCAAT